AACTTTTTTAAATGTAATTGCATTCATCTTTAAAGGTGGGGTAGGTATGTTTGAGAAACCGGCTCGAGATACACTTTTTGTTATATTCCATGGAATGCTCTTAACATCCCGATAGCAATGAATATCTTAAGTGCTTTGACAAAAAATCCATAAAAAAATATCATCTGTGGAAGCCGTAATACTGTAAAAAGCACGACCAATCATCTGAGCCGGCCCGGCTAAAATAACTGGATGGCCTACCTGCCTGTCAGCCTTCCATCTGTGCACAAACTTATCTCGTGCCCTCATTGGTCATGTGCGTATTTTCAAATTCTAGCGCACTCGAGCTGGTTTCTCCAAAATTACCTACCCCACCTTTAAAAGACTACTTTTATTGAATGAGAGTTTTACCTAGCACAATGAGCCTGGGGTGGTGGGAAGGGAGAACTGGGCCTCGGCATCGGCATCGGCAGGAGTGGTAGTCGCCTATGAGTATTAGAATTTAGATTAACAAAGGCATAGAAAAACCCTGAAATATGTACTGACACAAAGCTACAACCCTCGATTTTGTAAGTAGTAGTAGTAAATACATACGTATATACAATATACAACAATACGCATAATGCAATTAGCAGTACCAGTAATAAAATAACTGAATAAATAGAAGTAGAACCTTTATTTAGGCAGGAAAATCAATTAAGAACAAATTCTTATTACAATGATGACCTGACAGGAGGCAAAAGGCGTCCTGAGGGGATGGGGTTTGGGAGGAAAAAAATAAAAAGACAGACTCCGGGCACTACAGAACCCAGGAGACAACACAATGACACAGAGCAGAGATGACAGGCATAGCAGTTAAACATATAACATCTCTAAAACAATATTGCTGTGGTTCAATCTGTCATTAAAATAATATAGAACATTCATCCATTCATTCCTTCATGGCAAGGATAACTAAGCTGAATAGTGAATAAAGTGATATGTGAAAAGTAAAATTACAGTGAAATTAAATGACAGTGCGTTCCTCACCACTGCGATCTGGCTCCTCTGTCCTCGTGTGTTTTGGGTCTGATTCCTCACTACTGATGTCTGCCTCTCTGCATGGGCCCTCTCTCCTTATTTATTCTGTCTCAGTCACCACTGCTATCTGGCTCCTCTGTCCTCTTGACTTGTGGTTCTGCAGGCTTAGTTCGACCTATGAATTTCAACAATGCTCCTGTAAAATATATAGATATATAGTATTATGGGTCAACATTAAATAACATACACTGGAGAGCAAAATGTGAAATGCCATTGACTGTAGGCTACATATTATCCACACAATTGTCAGCAGGGGCAATAACAACTAAAATGTGAACTAACTTGAATGCATTAGTCCACAACACATAGCCTAACTAATGTTAGCCTACATAGTTACTAACATCAGAACACATAGTATTGGGGAATCTTATGTGTTTTGTGATGTTTGTGCTGGAGCCGTTTTATTCAAAACAGCACTCCGGTTAGAGAGTTGACACGGAGACAGGAAGTACAGTCTTTGGACTTTATATTAGCTTGGTTCTGATCATCAACACAGAATACATCATGCTTGATGTGGAATCACATACAGGATGTTGAATGGGTTGATGAGTATGATGATAATGATAACGTAGAGTAGAGAATGAATGAATGGTTTCTGCAAAATACACAGAAATAGAAATAAGGTTCAAATTACAATAACTAACCAGACTATGGTTATTAATAATAAGCAACAGCAATACTAATTGTTGCTAAAACACATTAGACACGTTGCAAACACACGGCTAATAAAAGCTAAATTAGCATCTCATCTGAATAGCTTAATTTAGCTAACTAGCTAGCATTAGCTCAATTCCTGAACAACATAGCAACTAAAAACGGGACATCAAGACTCATTAACACACTGACTCAGCAGGACACTATGCATACAATCTTATAACATTACCAACACTAAAGATCTGCATATATGCTCACATTCTTCACGAACGCATTCTCTCTGTGACGATGGTAATTATGCATGTGACGATGCGCAATAATCTCCTGTCCTGAACGCACATGTGTAACCCATGGATGTAACCAGCTCGAGGACCCATAGCTGCACTACATTAGCTGTCCCTAAATGTGCCTGACTAAAACACGAACGATATAATGCAGATCAAGGAGAACAAGGGGAATTTACAACACATAGACTAACTGTGGTTACATTACTTAACTAGCTCATCATCGTCAACAGTCAGAAAATGTCCGTTAGCCGTGGGGCTAGTTTTCGCTATGTTAAACTCCATTGACTTATGCTAAAATGTTAGCGATCTAAAGGTCCGCTATTTTTGGCTGTTTTGGGTCGACTTCAGTTGACTGTAACATCGAAAATCTTCGAAATTGAATGTTCACAAAGCTGCGGACCGGTTATACACTCATACACGAGGGAACTAACATAGCTAATTTAACTAACGTTAGCTAATGTAGCTGGTGTAGTGCCGAGAGACGGGACATACGGATTAAGCAACTAGACTACTTGTAGTGTACATGCAGAATTATTTCAATTTAAAATAGTTTTAAATGCTCACACACATACCTGACTCTGGTGCTGTATTTTCCTCTCGTTTCTTTTTAATTTTCCGTTTCGAAGCACCTGATGAATGCTTTCTCTTTGATACTCAGCGACAGAATCAACAGACAGAGGCAGCAACGCAGATTTGAATCTGCCAATCAGATCAATCTATTGCTGGAGAGGGGGGGGGGGGCTCCCCGAAATCAGTCGGAAGTGGCGCATTCGAATACTGTTTGGCCTGTCTGCCGTGGATGGGCTTCGTTCCACTCCAAATAGCCGGTCGGCCGTAATATATGCATAGATATATATGCGTGCATATATGTATATATATATGCGTGCATATATGCATATATATATATATATATATGTGAATATATATATGCGTGCATATATGCATATATATATATATATATATGTGAATATATATATGCATATATATATATATATATATGCGTGCATATATGCATATATATATGCGTGCATATATGTGTGTGTCTATATATATTTATAAACTGTATATTATTTTCCATCATTCAATGGACAATTTGTACTTTTTTTATATATAGGCTACCATCAAACATATGTTCATATAAAGTCGGTAACTATACAAAACGAAGTGAGATAACTGTTTATGAATATCTGTTCAATTTTATGTAAACTTGTGTAACTCATGAAAGATAAATGAGTGTTTCAATAAAACTATTACATATAAATGTATAGTGCAGTTTTTGTTTTCATTGCAATATATTTTTTTTATATGTATCAATATATAGCCATACATGGTCCATGCATATATTGCAATATATTTAAAAATATAAGGACTACTTTCCCATATATGGAAATGTATGATCCAATATATTGTATTATATTTACCAATATATTACAATATATTTTTGTTTCATAAGGGCCGTCAGTAGTTTAATAATTAAGATCTTGTACTTAAGTAAATGTAGGAATACTCCGTTACAACTAAAAGGCATGTATTCAAAATGTTACTCAAGTAAAAGTATAAAAGTATTAGCATCAATATGTACCAAAACTGAAAGTGCCCATTACAGAATAATATATATGAAAAGTTTGTATTACAATTACTGATGCATTAATGTGTTTGAACAGCTGGTGAAAACTCAGCTGGTTTTATTTACTTTATGCTGCAGGGTAGTTTACACAAGGGTTACTCCATCCATGGTGTAAACAATATATTTTAAGGGTTGTATATGTTTCACATCATTAATCCAAATGTGCAAAGTAACTAAAGGTATTCAATATATATAGTGGAGTAGAAGTACAAGATTTACCTCTAGATTGTATCGGGGTATAAGTAAATAGCAACATAGATGAAATACTCAAATAGAGTACTAGTCCCTCGAAAATTGTACTTAAGTACTCGAGTTGATGTTCTTAGTTCCAAAACACCAGTGCATTTACCTATACTTACATCTAAATGTTGCTAGCTGATAAATGCAACCAGAGCTCTGCAGTCTGACCGTCATCATGGCATTTGAATCAATAAACATACACCGTGAGCTCTTTAACGATACATAGTATATTAGAACAGCAGTGGTGCAGTTCACGCCACAGTTTGTCAACATTAAATACAAGTAAATCCTACTTACAGTACTGAGCGGGACACCGCGGTCTACTTGCGCCGCCATACTTTGGTAAACACGGATGACACCGCACCGGTAAGGCGGTGTTTGTTTGGCACGCATTATTACAAACTGTGATGGGGTAATATCATGCCTAGACCTCAACCCATCCATGCATATAGAACACAGTGAACGGATAGAAAACAATATATTAGCACTATAAAAAACACAAGGAATAATAAGGCATTTAAAACTAATTGTCTATTCAATAAATATGTAATCTGAAATATCAAACTCTATTTTATTTATTCTCATTTTTATATTTAAAATATCAAATATTGCCTTTTGTATAGTATATAATCATATTAAATAATCACAAAAATGTCCATACAAATATACAATTTTACACGTGTTATGTAAGGGTCTAAATCAGACACATCAATCAATCAATCAATCAATCAATGTTTATTTATATATCCCAATCTCACAAATGTTACATTTGTCTCAGTGGACTTCATAGTTTGTACAGCATATCAGTATGAGTCGGATTATGTGCCCTACAAGACGAGGGACTACGCCAAAACGTACAATAAAGTCAACCATCCGTCGAGCACGTACACACAGCCGGACCAGAAACCAGAGGTAGTTCATCACGATCTAAATCTTTCATTTTCTTTCTCATTCACAGATGTAAAACAGGTCATGTAAAATATATATATAATTAAAACGGTGTAAATAGAAGCAATTATTAAGCAAGGAACATTAGTGAAAAACAAAAATAATATTAAAATAAATGTATATTGTATACGTATATCTGAGTACTAGATTTGTGTTTGATATATTTATTTTATTTTTTTCCTTACAGAGAGTGCCATCCGTAGGATCATGGACTTAAAGCTGGACATTGAGGGTAAGAGCTTAGGCATGTTGTATGTCCTTTTTGATGTAATTAGTTTCTTTGATTTTGTAGCGGAGAATATTGAAGTGAGCAGTTAATTTGTCGATTTTATGTGCACAGTTCTATATGAATGAATGTGAGGTAATCTATTATTAGGTTTATATGATTTCTAAGGTTGGAAACATATTTATCGTATAACATGAAAGGCATGCTTTTAAATGTAGTCATTGTGTCTTTGTTTGTATTTTGTCTGCAGGCTTTTGTTTGTGCTGTGGTACTGAAGACGTGGAGATATTTCACCCTCTTTTTAAAGGCAGCCTCTGTGTGAAGTGTAAAGTAAGGAATCATCAACTTGTCTTAATGTTTCGAACAAGCCGTTACCATTGTGCTGTGAATATGTGTGTGAAATAGGAAGAAACATTCCCCCTAGATAACACACTACTCAAATAGATTTTTCAGAGGGGTCAAAGTGCATTTGCACTGTTCTTTCTCCTGTGCTCTACCTCTGTTAAACCGTCCCTAACCAGTGTCTGAGATGCTGTCTGTGTCCCTGTAGAATAACTTAACAGAAACTCTGTATCAGTACGATGAAGATGGATATCAGTCCTACTGCACCATCTGCTGCTACGGAATGGAGGTCATAATGTGTGGCAACGACAGCTGCTGCAGGTTGGTTGGTTCATCTCTTTTTCCTAAGTTTTATTAGCTTTATAAATAAAAGGTTTTCTTTATTTGTCTAAAAATGAAATACAGTGTGGAACACATCTGCATTAAAGTATCTTAGAATGACCAGACCAATGTGGATGAGCTCTTTACTTACATCCAACATGTTTCAAATAATGTTCAAACCTAAGAAATATGTCATTTTAATCAAGGTGCGTTTTATTTTGTCGCCTGTCAATGGCATCATATGCTCTTTACCCCCTGTAGTTGCTCTAACTTATAAAATATGTTTTCATGAATTGCATGCTGTGCGCAACACAGTTATTCAGTGGAGACATTCATAATAAGATATTTCAATGTTGATGAAGCTTACTTTAATGAGCATCATAAAGTGTTAATGTTAATGCATCATAAAGAGATTTTTATTATGATTTAAGTGTGCTTGAATTAGCCACCTGACATGAGCTGCAGGAGATGTAAAGATACAGTAGCTATACTAAATGCACTAATGTAATTGTACATTAAATTAATGCTACGTTAACTTGCAGATATTTCATTAGAATTTAGGATTGAGAGACCCCCCAGCAGCTTAAATTACATACTGTGTGTTTACTTGTCTCCCAATTGTTCATGTCTAACACAGTTATATATGTGGTTATATATGTTAGCAATTTATTTTCTGTCAATCAACAAGTTAATGATTTGACAAATCTCCTTTTTAATATTATGTTGCTGTTTTTTTTATCTTGTAGGAGCCTCACCGTGTTTACCCATCCATCCCTGCAAACCTGAGGAGACCGATCAAAGTTCTGTCCCTGTTTGATGGCATAGCAACAGGTTAGTGAACACACACATTTAACTTTCTGTAAACAATACAAATACATACAGGAAACAGTGAATGTGTTGTAAACTGGAGGAGAATGAAAATAAGTATTCATTAGAAATTAGAATTTGTGGGGTTCTCCGGCAGGTTCTTGAGCTCCTCTTATTGTAATCAATAATCTCTGATCATTTCGAGTTCATTTTCAGTTACAATGTTTACAGGAAAAACACTGTGTGAACTAGTTAAGGTTCATAAGCTTTTGGGAAACCTGGTCCTTAATCTCATCAAAACTCTGATTATACAAGTCTTCCTGATTATTTTCCAGGCTTACAGCATGTTGATGTGTGTCTTTCTGTATGTGTTCAGGCTACCTGGTGCTGAAGGATCTTGGCTTCAAAGTAGACAAATGTTATGCTTCAGAGATTTGTGAGGATTCGATTGCAGTGGCGACCGTCAACCACGACGGGAAGATCATCCACGTTGGAGACGCCCGCTTCATCACCCAGAAACACGTATGTTCATTTTCTGTACATTTGCAACCTTTTAAAAAATGTTTTATCTTTTGTTTGTTGTTGTTTTGAGTCATATCTTATTTGATATATCTTGACTCAATACTGAACCAAACCATCTCTGTGTTCCTCTTTGACCTCCAGCTGGAGCAGTGGGGTCCGTTTGATATGCTGATCGGTGGCAGCCCCTGTAACGACCTCTCCATCGTCAACCATTTAAGAAAAGGCCTCTATGGTACGTTACTGTTGTGTATGTGTTTCAGCACTAAATACATTAGTTGTCAACGATTAAAAATGCCAAGTTGAAATGCATGTTTCTAACTTCATAATCATTTATTGCACATTATGGTCAATGTATTTGCTGTAATCCCCTCCTCTCTCCTGCAGAGGGCAGTGGCAGGCTGTTCTTTGAGTACTACCGCATCCTCCATCTGCTGAAGCCCAAGGAGGAAGACCCCAGGCCGTTCTTCTGGCTCTTTGAGAACGTCGTCTTCATGAACACACATGACAAAGTCAACATCTGCCGCCTCCTCGAAGTGGGCACCATGCATTTGATTTATTTTTATCTTGAGCTCTTTCCTCCTCCTTCTCTTACTGTTACTTTTCCCTCTCGTTTTACCTTTCCCATTTCTTTCCCTTCCTGCTGTCCTCATAGCTCTAGTGTTTTTCTCAACCCCACCACCAACAGGAGTTTAAAGACACTGACAATCCTTCCTTATTGCCTAAACTGCTCAGTGATTGTTAACACTGCTACGAACCAGCGACCAGCAACACATCTCAGCTTGGAATGGTAAAAGAAGCCAGTTGAAGAGCAGAGACCGGCCTCTGGTTAGTTTTGTGCAAAAGAGTTTTGCAGGAGGAAAGATAGTCAATCAATGACATAAAGGTGCTGATTACGTAATCCAAATATGGCATAAACCCTTGAGACTTTTAAGCATTTTTAAGTAGATAAAGAATTATGTTCACATGTTTAAAAAGGGAGATATTTTTGGTCTGTTAATTTTTAAGCATTTTTGTGTGAATCATGTTATACTGAGAGCTGCCTCCTTTCTTTACTGTTATATTTGAATCATGTTGGTTGTTTACAGGAGAAAAGCAGAACTTGCAATATATTTTCATTAGATCAACATCTACTGTAGTTTAATATAGTTTATATTCTGCAGCAAGCTTGGTCGTTATACCAAAATTAACAAAATTGCCGGTATCGATGAGAAGAAACCAGGTTTTTGTGGCTTAATTTCCACAGTATAGACACTAAGTTAAAGTTAAAGCCTTTTATTGTCATTGTACACAGAGTATAACGAGATTCAGAGTGCAACACTGATCCTCTTTTTAATGAATTGTCCTCATGTTTTCATCCTTTTTGTTCTATCTTCATATCTTTTACTGTTGTTTTAGGGAAGTGGAAAGTAATTAATTGTAACATTTTCACGGGTTTTTTAAAGGTTGCTTTGTGTATTTGTGTGTGTATCTTATCATTGATTTTCAGTATTATGTTTTACTTTAGAGAAACTAAATGTTATTTATAATAACATATTTGATCCTTCAGTATTAATGGGGAGACGATCCGAGTCCAAAAGGATCTTTTTTTTTCAACCAGCTGCTTATTTGTTGTTAAATAGAGTTTCTTATTTGTGAGGGGCACGGGAAGCAAAACATTCATTATCAGATGATTTTTTTTTTTTTCAACAGAACATAAGTTGTATTCGACAATAGTGTTTACTACATTGAATCGACTAATTATCACAAAATGTTTACATTTACTGTTTTTTTTTTTTCTGACAAAGTGTTTGTGAGGATGCTGCACCACTGAGGCATGTGGCCTTATTGACCGATGATTGTAAAAAAGTCTAGTCTTTTTCTGACTGAAGGCTGGATCATAGGAGAATGTTTTTATTTGTTTTATTGTAAGTGGGCTGTACTCTATTTTTGCACAGAACACCAGAGGGCTGGATTGAGAGGTACACAGAGTTAAATGTTCATATTTAAATGTGGGTAGAGCAGTACCAGATATTTTCATTGTTAAGGGAAATAATGTATGTTTTGCAAAGTAATTTGAAAATAAGGATTTGTTTTACTTGGGACTTGACAAGACAAATTAAAGAAAAAAATTACAAAATGATCCCAAGGATGGCTTCTCTTTTTTTTTTTTTTTTTTTTTCACAATTTGGGCTGTGGAAGTAGATTTTGGAAGACTATATTTAAATTTAATTTCTTCTACCTTGTAATCAGGATGTACCGGGATTCCTTTAACTTTATCCTTTACAGTTTTTGATTTTTTCATTCTAAAACCAGGTGTGCAGCCATGCGCACAAACCCCATATTATCTTGTCAGTTTCCACAATTCTAACAAAACTAAGATAATTCATAAAAAATACTGACAGTCCTTTGTTGTCTTTAACAAAAGCCACAATGTAACTCTCAAATGAATCATGAAAATGAATAATACATAATAATAATAGATTTATTTTGTAAGCGCTTTTACAGGTGCTCAAAGTCGCTTTACAGAGATAGTGAAAAACAACAACATAATCTAATATCATAAAAGATGATTGTGAAACAATGAAAAACAAGTAAAAATGTGTCTGTTTTAGACCCTTACATAACACGTGTACACTTATATATTTTATGGACATTTTTGTGATTATTTAATATAATTATACTATACAAAATGCAATATTTTATATAAAAATAAGAACAATTAAAATTTAAAACGAATTGTGTATTTAACAAATATTTAATCTGAAACATCAAAATCTATTTTAATAGTGCTAAAATATTGTTTTCTATCCGTTCACTGTGTTTTATGCATGGATGTATGGGTTGAGGTCTACGCAATAAAAGCGTCACTACGTTGTTACGTTTAGGCGTTACCCATTACGTCCTTACGTCATCAGATCGCTTCTTCCGCTGCCGGGTAGAGTGAACGTGAGGAGCTGCCTGAGAAGAAAAGCAGAAGTGCCTAAAAACGTCGCAACGATTGCAGATACATCTTTTTAGGACACCGAGTGACAGCCAAGAAAAATACTAACACCACTGTGTCCAAGATCTGTTAAAGCCAATCCACTAAAGGTAGGTGTAACTTCGCTGAAACAAGGAGTTATTTAGCGTTATTAGCCACCGGCATGTGAAAGGTGGCTAAGCCCTTTTCAGCTAAGATGCTAGCAAGAACATAACCGTCTGATCCCGAATGGAATAAGCCAGCTAGGGCGAGGCTACCAATGAATATAAACAGCTGCTGCTGCATCTGTTTGATTAAAATGCAGACACATCTAGCGCTTTTGAGGTTCGGTACTTAACGTTTGCCGCATCAGCCCACAGTGACAAGCTAACTCAAGATAGCGGGGTGCTTGGTGAGTTCAGGGCGGGGAAAACGACTCGGTAATGTCCGCTGAAGCCAGTGGTCGAGATTAGCCGGTGACAGAAACCTAGCTACCTTATTGCCAACGTTATAAATCGTTAATATGTAAATCGACTACTCATTTGATGAATTCCATTGTGTAGCTTGTTGGTACGTGCTTAAACCGTATGTAGGATAGCCGCATAGCTGGTCAGTTGGCTGCCGCTACCGTTAGCCCTGAAGTTTCTAACCGGGCCCTGTTGCGTTTGCTAACCGTTACTTGCTATCAACTGGAATGTCCAA